TTGGGGCACACCCCAAGTATCTCACCCTAAGCCTTATAAACCCTTTCAAAACTTCCCACCAAATCAATGTGGGACAAGCCAATTTACAACCTTAAGGAATTTTCACCGAAACTCCATTTTCATGGAGCACACTTTGGCTTCAATTTCCCATTCACTCGGTAATGGTTTTGAGCAACCAAATATACCACGTGAATCACAACGCGGCATAGAACGCGTTACCACTTTGACCCGAGTAAATCGACACTCGGGGCCCACCTAAAAAATAGACCGAACTTGAGGAAAAATTAACCATTTCCAACAATTCTTTGCTAGTAATCTCTCTTGTATAGAAAATAGTTGATCTCTATAGATAGAAAAGAGTAGACTATATATATAGGCTATAAGGACCTTACAGTTACACAAAAAATAATGACCTTTAAACAAGAAAATGGTTACACCAAAATAATGACCATTAAACAGGTTCATGAATTCTATTTAACCTCCATTTATGACCAAGAGGTTACCAAAGTAATAAAACCCCATTTATGAAAAAGATAAACCAATAAATAAATATAAGATATTAAAATGGTCCAACAATACTCAAAGAAATGAACCCAAAAACTAAAATTAAAAAAAAAAAAATTATAAAAGACAAAAATAAGTCAAAAATAGTGAATTTTTTATTTTGTTTTTGAAAATTTTTATATTTTTTAGATTCTTCTAACAAAATCTTTAAAAAAATACTAATAAATAAAAAAAATCGAAAAAGAAAATCTGACCTAATTTTCAAAATTGTGAAAAAAAAAAAAAAAAGTACTCGTAAAATAGGCCATATCACGGTGAACATCCTATTCTAGATGTTTTACGCATTCTCATTGGTTGAGATCTTAGGCCCAGCTGCGAAGAGCGATGGAATAGGGCAGATGACGATGCACAGGTTGAACCCGAATTACACCAAATCATTCCTGCGTCAACGAAAGAGAAAGGTGCGTGTCTTCTCCCCTAACTCCAATCCAGGCCCATTTTTCCAACCGGGAGAACTCCAATCTACATAACGACTATGTAGATTAGAGCGTACGGTTAGGCAGGTAGAATTTGTCATGATTTTTATTTTGATACTCCCTCCGTCCCATAATATTAGTCCCTTATTCTATTTTTCATTGTCCTAAAATATTTGTCCCTCTTCAAAAATCAAGTATAAAAATAATATAAATTTCCCATTTTGTCCTTCTTTTAAATTCATAAATAATATAAAAAGTACAATTATGACATTGATATTCTCAAAAAGGTGTACTATCAAAGGGTAATTTTGGAAAACCAACTTTTTAAAAGTACAATAATTGTACTACCAAAAAAAGTTGGATTCCCCAAAAGGGACCATTAATTTGGGACGGAGGGAGTAATTTAAATTATTTAATAGATAAAATTTATTAAATATTATATATTTGTTAAAAAACATGTTAATTGAATGTAAGTAAGGCCTGGTTTGGCTTATACTATATAAGCTAAAAAGTCAAAAAGTTACTCCAAAATCTAAAAAGATATCATTATTCACAAAAAAAAAAAAAAAATTTAATTTTTTTCTGCCCAAGTACACACCGAATTGACAACAAGCCAGTTGCTGTGCAGCGGCAGTGCACCTAAATGAAAGGATTGGGTGTGATTTGCACACACACCGCTGTTCGGCCTGTGGGGCCTATCACAGATTCCGTTTTAATAATCTGAACCGTTAAATATGTAGAACTCGTCGAGTACTATGTGTCTACAAAAAATCACATTGATTGGATATCGATAACTATATAATCAAATCAGTTATGTACAACAAATGGATGGTGTTATAATTAATGATTGAAAAATAAATAAGTCTGATCAGATAGCTATCGATATCCGATTAACATGATTTTTTACAGGTAGATAGTGTTCGACGAGTTACACACATTCAACGGTTCAGATTATTAAAATGGGACCTGTGATGACTCCCACAGGCCAAACAAAACCGTCCAATGCTTTGTACAAAAATTAGGCAATAATTTCCATAGCCAATTCACTCCAGCCAGTTGTACGGCTGGGGCCACCTCTCACTAATCATCTCTTACACACTTTTTTTCTACAATATTTTAATACACATTTTTTCATAAAAAGCTAAAAAGTTAACCCAAACTTCCATATTTTTTTCTCAACTTTTTTAGTCTAAAAAGACAAAAAGTGCACTTTTTTAGAACACCCCAAACCAGCCCTAACTCTTTAATCAATAATAAATAAGACCACTGATTTATAAATCAAAAATTTTACCAAACAAATTTTTATTTGAGTTTTTAAAATTTTTGTAAATATAAACAGAAAACTGAAAACGTAAGTGTTACCAAACGGCACCTAAGTGTTACCAAACGGCACCTAAGCGGTTCAAATTATCGAAATAAAACTATCATAAATCCAACAAATGTAACAACACGCTACCATTCGCACCGGCGAAAGCCTCCCCCTTTTCAACCCAACCCAACCCAACACAAACCCCTTCATCAATGAGATAGTGAACTCTCTCTCTCTCTCTCTCTCTCTCTCTTCCACAGTCTGCGATTCCAAAGTCAAATCTCCCAAATCTCTCTTTCAAACACCCAAAAAAAACTAGACAACAAACTGTAGGCCAAAAAGCGACGGAGAGAGAGAGAGAGAGAGAACCGAATTGACATGACCGCATGCCTCAAGATCGATCATCATCATCATCATCATCATCGCCGTCGTCATGATGAACAACAGAGGCAACACCACCACCTCCATAGCCGTCAACGGCTCGATGTCGCCGTCTTCGGCCGCAAATTCTCAGTCGCAAGGGCTTAAAACCTACTTCAAAACCCCCGAAGGCCGTTTCAAACTCCATTCCGACAAGTCTCATCCCCCCGGCCTCCTCCCCTACGCCCTCGGCAAATCCGTCACTCAGGTCCACTCTCTTCACTCTCCTCCTAGCTCTCATATATATGTGTGTAGTTTGTGTTTAGAATTCGATTCATTTGGTCTCGTTGTCTAAATAGCCCTAGCTCGGCTTGAGACAGTCCGTTTGGATTGAGGTGTTTGTTTGCTAAGAAAAGAAAAGAAACGGTGAGAAAGACTATAGTCACTTGTTTGGGTGATTAAGTAGAAAAGAAATGGTGAGAAAGTATAATTCCTTATAACTTCTGTTTTGTTTGTTAGACTTGTGTTTTTGGATATGGATTTTTGGATAGGATAGGATAGGATAGGGATTTAGAAAGGGCAATAGATAATAAAAAAATTAGTTTATATTTTGTTTACATTTTCTCACATTTTCCTTTTCCTTTTTAAAACACTATCCAAATTCATGATTCCAAACAAATGTAAAAATGATGTGATTTGTTGAGAAACCAAAATTGCTATTTATGAAATTAATAATACCTAAATTATCTCTCTCAATACAAAGCAAATAGAATTAATGTGTGTCGTCTTTATTTATTGTTCATCCACACAAATTCTATGTTTGTGTGCGAGTGTTTTTCTGTTTCTAGTAATTGATTTGAAATGAATGACATTTCATTGTGTTGTTTAGATAACCCTAGTGCAGCTCAAGGAAAGGACCACGCAGGAGGTTGGAGTGCCGAGCTCAAGCTACAGTGCCAGCAGCGGAGTGAGGTATGTGGCAGCGAAGTTTTTGGGCAGTGGCAATGGTAGCCGAGGGCTTAATGGGACGAGTAAAGCCAATGGTGGGGCTAGTAGGAACGGATCGATGGGTGGGTTGAACGGGTCTAATTCTATGCTTAATTCGAATTTTGATGGCAAAGGGACGTATTTGTTATTTAATGTGGGCGATACGTTGTATGTTGGCGACCTTAATTCACAGGATAAGGTAATTTGATGTTGTTGACTCACATTTTTGCAAATGAATGGTCATTTTGATTTGAAACTATTGGTAAGAAGATTTGAATGTTTTGTGTGCAGGATCCAATAAAAGCGATACACTTCAGTAATTCGAACCCTGTTTGTCATGCCTTTGATTCTGAAGCCAAGGACGGGCATGACTTGCTGATTGGACTGAACTCTGGGGATGGTAAGAGTTACTGCCCTCAATTAATAGAAGTGGATTTTTAATGGAGGATTAACTATATTACTTTGCTTTGTTTTGTTTTTGTTGTTGTAGTCTACTCAATATCTTTGAGACAGCAATTACAAGATGCTGGGAAAAAACTTGTAGGTGCCCAACATTATAACAAAGAGGCCTCTACCAATAACAGGCAAGAAATTATATATTATCTTTGGTTTCTGTTATCCGTTGTTTTGATTGCTCGAACTTAATTGTCATGTTCTGCCTCTCTCATAGTTTGGATTGTCTTCTTGTTCTGGTTATGCTTGGAGGCTGATCGTCTTATACTTCACCTTTATGATTTCTGTTATTTATTATGTGAGAGGTGATGAATACAAATGAGCTGCCCACTGAAATTGCTTTCATTTGCTTAACATTCCAAATTGATTATCTAATAAAAAAAATGATGGATTTGTTCCCTTGATTCTTCCGAAATATCTAAAGTTGGAAAGTTGAACGGGTTATTGTCAACAGTAGTGGTTGAAGTTTATTTTGAAGATGTGATGGAGGCAGATTAAAATTAAAAGTTGACGTGTATTTTTTGGGGGCGTACTTTCATATGTATTTCTAGATATGGTTTTGGGCATTCATTTGGAAGCTTTTGGAAATATTCTGATAACATTGTCTAGGAATATGAATACAAAAGAGGATGAGGTTGGTTGATATAATGATTGGGTTGGGTACAAATTTACCTTGTTGACATGAAACTAAGGCCTCGTTTGGGAACATATTTTTTTAGTAACTTTTTGACTTTTTGGCTAAAATATGATGTAAAAAAAACTTGTATGTTTGAGAATAATTTTTTAAATTTTTATGAAAAAATGTATAATAAAATAATATAAATAATTAGAAGTGGGAAAATTGAGTTAAACCAGTGAAACTTCACCTGACCTGCTCTCAGGTAAAGTAATGCCAAGGACAATTTTGCAGCATGAAGTGACTTGTGCCTTGGGGGAAACATGGGGGTTGTTGACAAATTTATCAAGGTGTATACGTATAAAATATTTTTTTTGTATATAAAAATATTTTTAAAATCTTTATAATATTTTTAAAAATCTAACATAATACAATAAACGTATAAAAATATTTTTAAAAATCTTTAAAATATTAACATGCGAAAAGTACAAAAAACAAACTTTTTTTTGTATTTATTAAGTTTTGTAAATATTTGTGAACACATATTTTACTTTTTCCATATATGTACAATAAGGTGCATACGTACGAAATTTGCTTTAAATTTGTAATACACTACAAACAAAAAAACAAGGAAAACGAAAAACCAATTTCCAATGATGGCTGCCTAGTACACTATCTTTGATGGAGCTACTATGCATAGGTTTGTAGGATAAAAATTGAAAGTGGATCAAAGAATAATTTGATCAGCTGCATGGATCATGTGAAGATTGTAATAGTATATCAGGAGAACTTTTGGACCCTTCATCCACCAGCCTTAAGTGGAAGTAAGCTGACCCACTATGTTGGTCAGGAACAACGGTCATACTCATACTAACATAAGTAGAGAATTTGGCTTCATAACAGTGTTGTGTATGAACCATAGATGAGGGAAGGGCTTGAGCAACTGGCAGGACATAATTTAGTGATTACCCAGTATAGGTGGAAATCAAATAATGATTCTCTAATCAGATGACCAGTTGATATCCGATTCTTCTCTTACGTCTCTGCAGTCCTTACTTAGCTCTCTGTATATAGGAAAGACAATAACTGTATAAAGAACTAACTAATTTTGGCCACCTTTGCTCTACTCGAATGGAAATTATTTTTACTTTGGTTTTTATATTGCAACATCTTAAAATTTAGAGAGTGAATATACAAGAGATTTTTTTTTTTTTTTTATATATTTTTAAATTTTAAATGCAACATTTCCTCTTTTTTTTTTTATTATTTTTTTTAATTATTGAGAATTAAGTTAGGGTTGATTCATAAGGTTAATTTGAGCACGCCATCAGATTGCTGTTGTGCTGTGGAAAATCACATTTTGTTGATTGGAGAGAAATATGTGGTGGAAGCACCTCTAAATGGCCTATGTGGGAAACATGAAGGATTTTGTTTTTACTTAGTTTTATAAGCTTGCCAAAAATATATTTTTTTCCTAAGCTTATAAACTTTATTAATTAACATGCTGCTTTGTCATGATATTGATGTTATAACGTCTAGTTGTTATTATGAATGAGCAACCAACTAGTTGTTTTTGATAGTCGATGTACTAGTGTTGCATGGATACCCGGGCGTGATGGTGCTTTTGTTGTTGCTCATGCTGATGGAAACTTGTACGTATATGAAAAGGCAAGCGTCAATTTTCATTAGAAGTTCCTATGTTCTGTCTGCTTCAGTTTTCATCCTCCACTTCTATTGCATGTACTGAATTTAGAGTAGGTTTTTTTTTTTTTAATGTATGATAGAGCAAGGATGGTACTGGTGATGCTTCCTTCCCAATCATCAAGGATCAGACTCAATTTTCTGTTGCACATGCAAAGTCTAGTAAGGTAATTAGTATTTCATGTTCTGGCAATATTTTTGGATAGATACCTTAGCATGCGGTCCTAGGATTTTGCCTCTTCTATCCGGTTTGGTGTTTAGTATTTATTGTGCAAAATTGAATTGCTGGGGCTGGGGCTGAAGCAATGAAAATGGTTATTGCATTGTGTGCTTTTCTGATATGTGAAATGTTGGCTAGCAAAAATGTAAAAGTAGCAAGAATTAATCTCATGGGTGAGAAAAAGAAAATTTTGTTTTGAGGGGGTAAGAAAAAGAATAGAAAGGAAAAAAAATTTATTTTTTCATGCTCATCCTTGGATGTAAGCTAGCCAAATCAAGTCTGTAAATCCCAAGGGAATTATTGCTTCTCTAGCCTAAGAAGGTGATAAGGAGAAAAAAATGAAGAAGGAAAAAAGTCAAGAAACTGCCAGGTGCAAATGGTTGTAAAGAATGGTGGCTGTTTGGTTGTTAGGTTGTTAGTAGCCCTCAGGTATAATTTTATGTGATGTCCAAGAATTTTTACATGTCAAAAATCCATCTCTTTACATGTATGTACAAGTATGCACTAATATATTATTGGATTTTGCAATCCTAATGCACAAGTGGAGTAGGAGAGCATTGTACCCGCTTTTATCGAAACTAAAACTGTCCTTTATACCTCAATAAAATGAGAGGGAAAAGAAATTGTAATTTAAACAATGAAAAATTAGAAATAAAAAGGTCTGGAGAAATTTACAAGTATAAATCCATAGTGTTTTGCTTAACTTCGCCTATAATGTTTTAACTCTTTTTTCTAGTAATTGTTTTTCGAAAATTATTTGGAAAAATTGGGTAATTATCTGCCAGTAGTGCTACCTACCTCATTTTTGTCTATCTATGATTTCTTTGCAGAGTAATCCTATCATGAGATGGCATATTTGCCAAGGTTCTATTCATAGCATTGCTTTCTCAACCGATGGGAAATATTTGGCGACTGTTGGTAGAGATGGTATTGTGTTTATCTGCCACCCTTCCGTGGACATGTGCCAACTGTATATAGGTGCTAATAACAATATTTTTTGTAGGTTATTTACGAGTTTTTGACTTCTCAAATGAACAACTGATTTGTGGTGGCAAAAGTTATTATGGCGCTCCTCTATGTTGTGCCTGGAGGTAGAAACAGCTTTGTTGTTGCCCTGCATAAGTAGTCGTTGATTAGTTAGGATTTGTTAATTATGATTTCCATTTCAGTCTCCTCGCATATCATCTTTGCTGTTCTTTTCTATTTTTCTTAAGAGGACCATTAAAAACCTTTAGAAATGATCACATATGACTTGTGCATACCTTTCTCAGTGGTGATGGAAAATACATCTTGACTGGCGGTGAAGATGATCTAGTTCAGGTTTGGAGTATGGAAGATAGAAAGGTAGTAGCATGGGGCGAGGGGCACAACTCATGGGTGAGTTTTTGATTGAATTAATCTGCTTTAATTAGCTTTCTTTGAGTAGCTGTCTTACACATGGACTCCATGGCTTGCAGGTCAGTGGAGTCGCTTTCGACTCATATTGGTCTCCGCCAAATTCAGAGGACACAGGAGAAAATGTCATGTATCGCTTTGGTTCTGTCGGTCAGGTTTGTTGCGTTTCCTTTTCAATCTAGCATACCCCATTCTATGCCATTAATTAGGTGATAAATCATCTTCAACCATGTGTGCTACTAACTCATCACCGAAAAAGAAGTTATAAAATGTTCATGCATAATCTATGAATATAAAGCTAGCTTCCTATTTCTCTATTTCTCACTCTCACAGTCTATTATTCAAACCCTTCATCCTCATCCCATGCTTTAACGTTCAGACCTTTTTGTCTGTGTGGGCTCAAGTGACTATCCTGTGCTTATAGTTTCAGTTTCATTTATATATCATACTTAATCTGGAACTTTCAGTGATAAAACCCACGTCTATATCTACTTGTATTTTTATATATTTTCCCCTTAATAATCTTCTTGCCTAGATCATGTTTATGTATTGTTGATAGGACAGAACACAACCCACTCAAGTTTGGAAAAACTTTAAACTGAATTAGAACAAGGCAGCTTTCATTATCTTAAAATATGAGACAGAGCCCGTGTCAATTTTCAATGAAATTAATAAATTAATCTGTTGATGCATGTTTCATAAATAGGAATGGCAACGGGCTGGGGCGGGGTCGGGGATCACCCTCTCTGTCCCCGATCCCCGATGGTGGAAACTCCCCCGTTCCCGGTCCCGATGCTCATCACCGCCCCCGCCCCTTAACGAGGATCGGGTTTCTCCGATCCCGAAAATTCCCCGACCAAAAGAAAAAAAAAAAAAAAATCAGCTCCATAATTTCTTCAAACTACAACAACAATAATTAAACAAATCTAACAGAGAGAATGTCATCAACAACAACAACAACAATTAAATCAGCTCCATATTTTCTTCACGAATTCATCAACAACATCAACATCAACATCATCAACAACAACAACATAAAACAAAAAAAAAAAAAAACAACATCAACAACATCTGAGCTCAAAAAACAACATCAAAAACAAAAAAAAAAAAAAAAAAAAAAAATCAGCTCCATAATTTCTTCAAACTACAACAACAATAATTAAACAGATCTAACAGAGAGAATGTCATCAACAACAACAACAACAATTAAATCAGCTCCATATTTTCTTCACGAATTCATCAACAACATCAACATCAACATCAACATCATCAACAACAACAACATTATTTTCAACAGATCTGACCTCAAATGTAAAAATAAAAAATCAAACCAGTGAGAGAGAGAGAAAGAGAGAGATAGAGAGAGAGGGAGGCGATATCCGTCGTGTCAGAGGAGGCGACGACGGTGAAGAGGAAGCAACGGAGCAGCGTACTGTCGCACATGGAGAGACGATGCTGACCGTGGGGCGACAGAGCAACGTACTGCCGTGGATAGAGACACAACGCCGACTACGGATGGAGACGACGCCGACTACACATAGAAGAGAAAGTGTGAGAGAGAAGAGACTGTCTTAGTCAGTGTCCCCCTAACCCTAAAATGAAAAAAGAAAGAGGGAAAACATATATATATATAGACAGCGGTATAATGGTCATTTCATTTCGGGGAACCGGGTACGGGGCCGGGGGCGGGCCGAGACTGTGGAACATATCACCGTCCCCGGCCCGAAAATGGTCGGGGATTTATTTTCAAATTCCATCCCCGGCCCGTCGGGAATATTTTTCTGGGAAAAACTGTTTCAATCGGGGTCGGGTCCCTGTCGGACCGGTTTCAAATTGCCATCCCTACTCATAAAGAATTAGAATATACATGCAACTAAGGGAAGCCACAATAATTTCACAATCTCTTTTTGCTCACCATTGTTAGTTTTTGTCGGTGTTTCTTGGCATTGACTACAATGTCCTCAATGTTGGTTTTGGCATTATTCTTTTACATTAAGAAGGAATGTCAATTTACAAAATTTTGATTGGTGTTGAGAGGTGTGTAGAGGCTCGTATTTTATGTTGTCCACCTTTAAAATCGAGTTAATATTAATGAAATTCTTCTTAGGAAATGAAGAGAAACTGGGTTGTGTTCCACATTTGATTGCTTCATAATTGGCGATTGGAATCCACTATTAACTACTATAGCCTTTCAAGATATAGAATTAGTGAATGCTTGCATAGATAACGGTTCGATGATTGTTTGTCTTTATGGTCACGTGGGTTTTTCAAATCCTATATGTGGTACATATGCATTCACTTTGATCACATGGCTCATACTGTTGATTTGTGTAACAACAATCTATCATGATCTGTCACTATCTTCTAATGAACTTGATGCAAATTATAATTTGCTCCATCTTTAAGCAGGACACACAATTGCTTCTCTGGGACCTGTCTATGGACGAGATTGTAGTGCCACTTCGCCGGTGCCCACCTGGTGGGTCCCCTACATTCAGCAGCGGAAGCCCATCATCTCACTGGGACAGCATAGTCCCAGCGGGCACTCTCCAACCCGCTCCAAGCATGAGAGACGTTCCAAAGCTCTCCCCACTAGTCGCCCACCGCGTCCACTCTGAACCTCAATCTGGCTTAATTTTTACCCAGGAATCTGTACTCACTGCTTGTCGAGAAGGGCATGTGAAAATTTGGATGAGACCCGGGGATCAACAATCAAGCAACTCAAAAGCCACTTCAAGTTCTAGTTCAAAGGGAAAGACAACATCGTCAAGCAAAATCGGCAGCTCTAGCTACAAATAATTATTAGAAAGGTGTAGCCGAAAGCGGTTTTATAGAATTTGAGTATATAACTATTTATGCCCCTTTTTTTTAACATAATTGAGGTCATACCGAGTCGAATTTCTCTCATGTGCAGTGAGATTAGTCAAACGGTCCTGTTGTATAAGAGTAGCATTCAATTTAACCACAGGAAGAAAAGAGATGAAAATGAATGTGCGGTACAATATCTAAGAGAGAGAGAAAGAGAATATTATATTATGTATGCATTTAATATTATGTATCTTACGGTACAATGAAAAGGCCCATATAGGCAAAGATAAGAGGGGGCAACAAAAATTCATGGAAATATCTTAATATAGTAAAATATAATTATAGCATCTAATATATGTTGGGGTTGTTTGAGGTGTCTTAAATAAGTGTATTTTTTGTCTTTTTAGATTAAAAAGTTGAGGAAAAAAATATGGATGATTGGGTTAATTTTTTGACTTTTTATAAAAAGTTGTGTATTAAAAAATTGTAAAAGTAAGTGTGTAGGAGAAGATAGGGTAGGAGGCCGTACGGATTGGCAGGGTGAGTAGATGAGAAAATATTGTTTCCTTCTCGGGCTTTGATTGTATGGTGTTGTTTGGCCTATGGGAGCCTACCACAGGTCTCATTTTTCTAATCAGAACTGTTGAATGTGTAGAATTCGTCGAGTACTATATTCTTGTAAAAAATCATGTTGATTGGATATCGATAGCTATTTGATTGTGTTAGTTTTTTTTTTGTTAACTGTTAACTATAACACCATCTATTTTTATACAAAATTAATTTGATCATGTAGTTAGCGATATTCGATAGATGTGATTTTTTACAGGCATATAGTACTAGATGAGTTTTACATATTGACGGTTCAGATTATTAAAATGAGACTCATGGTGGGTCCACACGGGCCCAACTTTACCATCTAATTTAGTGAATATAGACATAATTTTTTTTTTTTTGGTCTCTGTCACTGGCTAGTTCATCATGTCAGTGCCAATCTTGGGCCATCTTCTTTATATGTATTAATATTTGTATATTAATTTTTTAATATTTTTTTTTGATAAATAGTGATAACTTTTTAACTTTTTGGATAACTTTTTGACTTTTTAACTTTTTCTAAGGTTGCCAAACCAGCCCATAGTATAATAACTATACATACCATATTCACTAACAGTCTCCCTCAAACACAAGGTGGTTGTCAAGGTAGTTGTAAAGAGACCAATTGAGTTTGGAAAGAGAATTAGAGAAAATAAAATAAAATATAATTAATAATGCTGAAAAATAATTTATGGTCGTGTTAAACCGTTGTAGGAGCAACCGGGATTAATATTGGAAGACAATTTATGCTTGTGTCGAACTATTGTAGAAGCAAGGTTGGAGTTAACAGAGTTCAGGTCGGGGAGATAATTTATGGTCATGTCAGACCGTTGTAGGAATATGACTGAGCAAGGTTTTAAAAAGCGGCCGCAACCGTTACGTAACGCCGTTACGTAACGGTTCTGGCGGATACCGCCACCCGTTACGGCCGCTTTTGCAGTGTGATTGAGATTCACATGTATGTCGGCCGTAGCGGCTACCATAGCGGTCGTAACAGTGCCGTAATGGCCTGTTACGTACTGTTACGTAACGGTTTCAAACTGTTTCTTTCGAAAAAATACACCAAAAAAAGCTAAAAATAAGGGAAGAGGGATAGAGAGAAGAGGGAAGCTAAAGAGAGAAAATGGAAAAGCAAGAGATAGAGAGAGAGAGAAGAGGAAAGAGCATGTTATTGATTCAGCTGCTATTCTATTCCCGAAAGATGAAGAACATGTTATTGATTTGTTGAAACTGTAAGACCTATGCTATTCTATTCAACTGCTATCACTAAATCATTTTGTTTGTGTGTGTCTATCTATATATTGTTTGAAAATAATAATAATAATAATAATAAGTGTGGTCATTATCTATTTAGTTTGGTTAAAATATATATATATATATATATTTAGGTTCTTATTTATTCTCTTACTTTTGTCATTGTTTATCTTATATATAATAGTTAGTGATTGATTTTTTGTATAATATAAAGTTATTAATTATTAAAATAAAATGTAAAAAACTCAGTTTATAATGATTTAAAAATATGAAATATATTGGATCATACTTAAAAATTTACAAAAATTGATCAATATTTATTTTTAACCCAATATATATGATCATGGAAAAAAAATATGCGTATCGGTAAGTTTTTTTTCAAATTGTGCGAAAAATAAAAAAATTCACGGTTCCGGTTACCGCAACCGTTACACTACGGCCTTTACACCCCGCAACCGGAACCGCGTCACCGCCACCGTTACGGCGACCGCAACCGCTTTTCAGAACCTTGGACCGAAGCTCACAGAATTAATACCGAGAGACAGTTTATGATCATGTTGGACCGTTGTAGAAGAAGAAAGTGTTGAACCAACGTGGCACACACGTAAATTATGACATGGTGCTAAACGATGATGGTAACAGATGAAGAAGTGCGCCAAGGGGCAACTTCGAAAGGAACCATGTGTGCTAGGAGACTGTTTAAAAAGGAACAAAATGCGCTAAGGGGACGGCTTAGGGAATGCGCCAAAGGGACGGCTTAGGGAATGCGCCAAGAGGGCGGCTTGAGTGGTTCGCATAGTGTATAATCATGCTCACCATAATATAGGTATAATATTTCCCTCAAACTCAAATATGTTTGAAAATAGAAACCTATTTGAAATTAGCGTAAATTACAAATACATCCTTTGAGGTTTGATTAAAATATGAATCGTCCCACATGATTTTAGAAATTATATTTCACCCATGAGATTTTTAATTTTACAACAAATCGCCTCTTTTATTAATAAATTATCAAGTCAATTAACAATTTTTAATGATGTTAGAAATATGTTTCAATTAATAATTTAGGTAATTTTATTTTGTATAAGATGACAATTATGAATTTTATTTTTTTATTTAATTCTGTTAAATAAAAAAAAATACATACTAACATGGAGGTATTTGTAATTTTTTAAATCACAAGAATCATTTTGTATTTTAAAAAAATCTCAAATGGTGTATTTATAATTTATCCTTAAAATTAAAATAGAGAGAGAAAGTGGAACGGAAGGAAGAAACTATGTTATCAATAAAACATATTGCAGAAAGAACCACAAAAAAAAAAAAAAAAAAAAAAAAAATTCATTTTTCAATAAAGAGTGATAAAGATTGCGGACAACCCATGTGGGCATATTATAAAAAATAAATACAGAAATAAAATTGTGTGTGTATGTTTTTTTTTTTTTTTTTGAGCGTTTGTAAGTAATGGTGGGATGGAGTGAGAACAAGATAAAATAAAATAATATAAAAGAGGTAAAGAGAAAGAAGGCTAACAGTAGCTTTAGAAAAATCTGTTTGGTTTAGTTTTAGAATAATGATTTAAGTGTCCAGTTGTGTTTTGAGTTTTAAATTTTTGAATCATGATTTGAAAAGAAAAAATTTGTTTGATTATAAATTTTGGAAATAATTTTGGAATAATTTTTATTTTTTTGATTGATTAATGTATAGAATGTGAGAGAATATGAGAGGAGAGATTAGAGAAAAAAAAATGATTGATTGATTAAAAATAAAAATAAAAATAAAAATAAAAATAAAAATAAAAAGAGAAAAGAGGAGTTTTAAAAGTAATTTTGAGTTATATTTTAAAAATATATTAGGTTGATATGTTTCATCCAAATCATGATTTAAAAATAAAATAATGATTTGAAAAGTAAATCAAACGGTACCAGATTGTTGAGTTTGAAAAATCATAGAGGTTAGGGACCTTGTTGAAGACAGTGGAGAAGTGGAGAAGTCAGAGAGGAAACAAGGCGTCTCTAGCGAGGCGCGAGGCACCGACAAGTTGGTCAGTAATGGCGTTCGAGAGTGGAGTTCGACGGTGTTGAAAAGGTAGGAGCCACAGAGGAACTTTGGCTGGTGGTAAAGGAACATAGAGAAACCAACCAACAGAGTAGGAGATTACCACAAAGCGATATTGAAAGAAAAATATGGCAGTAGAATGAGTTGAGGTTCGATGGGCGGCCAAGGCAAGACAGTCGCCCGCTGATGAAACAAAATTGCTAGATACTAAACATAACTCTGATACTATGTTACTATATATAAGAGAAAGAAAGAGAAAAGAAATATTATATTATGTGTATATTCAATATTATGTATTTTATAATATAATGAAGAGGCCTATAAATAGACAAAGTAAGAGTGTGTATGTGAGGGTTCAAGAATGTTGTCGAAAAATTCGAAGATCTTCAAAGATCTTTGAAATTCTTTAGAAATGATGAGAGACTTAGATTCTTTAACAATCACAACTAGGAGCACAATAGCAAAGAGATAATGGAGATAAGAGATTGGATAAAAAAGAAAGCAAAATAGTTAGAGAGAGAATAATAATAAGGCTCTTCCATGGATTTCCCACTTTCACTCTCAAAGTAGATAATGGAGAAGGAAAATTAGTTCTTTCCTAATAGTAGTCTCTCCAAAATCCATTCCTTGTAAAGCTATGGGTGGATGCAATTTATAGGCACCTCATGGTGTAGGATGGAGCCTATGTGCAAGGCACATGGAGAATATTCCCTCTAACTACCTTGTCAGAGAAGGTGACCTCTTCGAGGATGAGGAAAACCCCAAAGAGGAGATCAATCCCTCGACAAATCCTTTTTCTTAGCCATATCTAACCAATGATCCCCAATCATCCCAAAGGGTCAAGGGTAATCCTAGAGGACGCCCTGCCGTAGAAGGGTCAAGGATAGTTCAAGAGAATGCCCTGCCGCAAATATCATCGAGTCTTAAGCACCCCCTAGATCATGCCATCTCGATCTGAGTATAGGCTAGTTTAACCGAAAAGTGAATTTATCTCCACTCACTGTCCTCGAAATCGAGTCCTTTGTTCGGACTTCATTACGCCCATAGTTCTGGAACGTAAATCCCGGAAAACTCCGAGCCCGCAAGTGTTTTAGGACTTATTAATGGAGCGGCTTCTAAACTGTGTCTGAATCCATTCGGATCCAAGCACTTTAGATCTCTAGTTTCGTAAATCCGAACCCTTTCGAGTCCGAACTCAAATAGGTCTCTAGGTTTGAGGTTCCGAACCCTTTCAATACTAAGCAAATACCTCAGAGAATGGATTTCCTCCTAGGGTTTCAACTCTTCTAAAAGCAACAGTTAACCTCCTCGGACACCCGTATGATCTAGACCTCATCGAATAAGCTTG